CTTTCAATTATTTTCTACTACTTTCAAAAAGAAGTCTAAATTCTTTGGCCCAGCATCCAGAACTCTAACCCACTTTTTCCACTTAATTTCCAACTACCATCTAGCTACAGATCAATTTTTAAGAGTTAATTATTGAATACTTCCATATAACAGATGCTAAACTCTAGGAAAGTAAAATAAAGTCTATCTCCTGAACTCATATTTCAGGGGTAAGTGAAGTTAATGGAATTAAATAAATACATATATAAATATGATACAATATAATAGAGATATATACAAAATGCTACGGGAAAAATCTTCAGTTCCTGATAATGGCAGATTATTCAAACCAATCCCCTCCCCTCCAATGAAAAATGTTAGATAAAATGTAAAGAACATTCTCTTAAAAGCAATGAAAGGTTGACGAGGTAATAAGGAGTTGTAATAAATAATGAAGAGAAAATAAGAATCCAAAAGTTATGAATGTCCAAAAGCCACTTCTGCCCTAAGGAATATGTAAATTCCAGAAAATTCAAATTTTCATTTTGCAAATCTCATGGAAGAAGATCAAAGCCCAGGACATGCACATGGTTAAAAATCTAATAGTTCACTTCATCACAACTGGCTGGACTCCAAAGTCCGGACTACAGGATAAGAGTTAAACCAGAGTAAAATAGTTCTTGGGCAAATTTGCAGCTAAGATGGTTAAGTCCTGGATGGCAAATACAAGTTCAAACCTTTGATTTGTTTTAAGGTAATCCCAATCTAGTAAACCAGCAAGAACCTGACAGAAGCAAACACAAATCTTCCTGGAAGAATATACCTTCATGCTAGGCTTCAGATTATTTCTACAATCTTTCAAGTATAATGAGCAGAGGATAACTAAGCACACAATGAAATAAGGCATCATAAACAAGGTCCTTGAGACGCAATACACAAGAGAAATAATAGATTAGCAAAATGTCAAGCCAAGTACTTGAGGTAGATTATATAAAACTACTTTATTTACAACGTTTAAATAAAGAGAAAGCTTAAAAATATGTTCAGGGAAGAGGACACTGCAAAAAGCAGAGCATTTGAAAAAATGGACTAAACAAATTTTAGAACTGAAAAATACAATAAACATAGTTAAACGTAAAGGACACCATGAGGATGAGTCACATCTAAAATGGAGGACATGTTGTAAGATAACTGGCATGGACTCTTCAAATAATCAATGTCAAAAAGAAAAGAATAAGACAAAACTGTACTGTTTTAGTTTGAGACTGAAGAAACAAAATCAAATGCAATGCATGAATGTTGGCTGGATCCCGTTTCAAAAAAATTTTTGAATAGACTGAATTGTAGTAAAGTGTCGTATCTGCAACTTAGTATTAAATGGTTCTAAAATAACAATAGATATTTTAGAAAATAAGTACTATTTATAAGGTTACATATAATCTATATAAAGCAAATACAGCAAAATATTAACTACTGAATGTAGGTGAGGTATATGGACATTAATTTTACTATTCTCCCAACTTTACTTGAATATTTTCAAGGAAAATAAATCAAACAAAACTGAGAAGTGTTCCACCTCTGCTTAGTATACAGAGCCACAAGAGAACATCACACCTACTCTAACATAAAAGAGTAAGCCAGATAATCTAAGTAAATCACTTTTCTTGCATCCACTAGAACTGAGGTTGCAAGGCAACCAGATGAACTGAACTATAAAAAATGGCAAGCCTCTCCAAAAAGGAGATGGGACAAAGGTGGCCACCACAAAAGCTAATAAGAAGAAACAGCCAAATGTTACTGAATTCTTAAATTTCTAAAGACCACGTATTTGCTACCGTGACAATATGGAAATTTTGGGAGCCCTAACATAAGGTGTCTTTCCACAGGAACCCACTGAGTGCTCATAATAAAAAAGAACAAGGACAAACAAGAGATCCGAAAGTCTTACTTTTTCTATAGTATGACCACATAGGGCCTGCCTATGTTTAAGAGAAGCTCACCCTCAAGAAGCTCACCCATGCTCCAGACGCTGTATAAGTACAAGGTGGAATCAGCTGTTACTAGAAAAGGGATAGGAAATCCATTTTCTGTAAAGACTGCACTGATACAAGGCAGATGTCTTGTGGCTACTAGACAAGGGCTATGAAACCTGCCTGCCCAAGATATTCCAGCAATACTAAGCAAAGATCAGCTAGAAGGGACAAAGGTGGTAACAGGGGTCTGCCTGCACTCTGAACTCTAGGAAGCAAGGAGAAGAGCAGAAATCTTGGGACAGCCCCACCTCTGAGGATCATGCACAAAGAGCCTGCCTAAGAAAGGAGAAGGATGCACAGAACTAAGAATACCCGATTTACTGTGAGCTTTGCTTCAAGTAAGAAGCAACAGCAGTCTATTGTAACCGGGGGAGTTACTGTTATTTGTTCCAGCAGTCTGCTGCTGCAGGAAGAATACTGGAAAAAAATCCCCAGACACTCCAGGCCTCACAATAAGGACCATGCAGCGGCAGCCCACTACTGGAGCACTTGGAAGGTAAATAAAGCGAATAATAAAGCTCAAGCCCAGTTCAACTACAGACTAAACCAACTCAACCCACCGCACTAACAATCTGACAGAAGTAGAGTAAGTCCACGTCCAGGCATAAATATTCAACAATTTCTACCGTTCTTTTATTTACAATGTTTGGCATTCAATCAAACATTATAACACACAAAAATACAAGAAAAAAAAATCAATCCATTGCCAAGAGATAAGAGTCAACAAAGCAGAAGAGACAGTCCCAACCTTAGCAAAGTGGGGACCTCATGAATTTAACAGAAAACTAGGCAAAACTGGAAACTAGGGAACTGGGAAATAGGCTAGAAGCAAATTATCCAGAAAGAAGAATGAAAAAACAGATTATGATAAATATGGGCAAGGGTTTAAGAGGCACTAAAAAGAGTAAGAAAGTCTTTTGTACATTTAATTGGAGTTATAGAAGGAAAGAACTAGGATAGAGAAAAAAAATTGGAGATATTGGCTGAAAATTTTCCAAAACTGGTGAAGGATCAAGGTCAATAAGCCCAACAAATACCAACTAGAATAATTAGCAATTATACTAATTGCTAGATTACTCATACCAGACTGCTGAAAATCATTATACCTAAAAGAAAAACAAAAACAAACCTGTAAATGTTATGGGAGTACTGAAAGGGGAGGCAAAAGTTCCGGGAGGCAAAAGTTCCAGATAAAAAAGGCTTCAGAGGAGGCAACATTTGAGTTGACCTTTGAAGAATGAAAATAGAAAAAGAGAAAGAAGGCATAAAGATATTAAAGGTGTTAACAAATCTAAGTGTAAACTGAAGGGGAGGGAGGAAAAGAAAGCACTCTGAAGGAAATAAATACATAAAGTAGACTATATTCAAATCGTAAAGGCAATCCTGTGTCCTCTGCTTAGGAGTTTGTACTTTAATAAGGCAAGTTTTCAAGCTTTTCACCACAGCAATTTGTATATTATTTTTCTCCTTAAAGATCCCAAAAATTACATTCCTGTCAATTAGAGCTCTCAAAAATGAAACAACTAGTAGTCTAACAAAAACTTTACCTACTTTTGCCTAGCCTTAATGATAAAAGATTAATATACGGGTTCTTACATTTCTTACAACACTGAACCTATTATTTACTACTTCTGTGGAACTATGGTGAGCAAATTACTGATATAGGACACAGGCTTAGGAACTACTAAAGATTCTGAAAAAGCAACAGTTAAAAACAAACAAAAAGCTGAAGTAAATCAGTATTAAGAACAAGTTCTATTGAGCCAGACATCAGTAATCATCTATTAAGAATGACTTATTATTTAAGGACTACAATCTGTTTGATGTAAAGCCTGGGTTATAAGTACAGTTTTAATGGGACAAGGAAAGAGACTGAAGGGGAAAGGGGGCCAGTGCAAGATACTGTGAGGGATTAATAAATGGGTAAAGCATGGAGAGGAAAAAAAAGAACAAGTTATTAAGAAGAGACAGTGAAGGTCCAAAGTAAATGGATAGAAAGCAGATTCAATACAACTCAATTAGAAAAGAGTGGTAGGGCGGGAGGAATTAGTCAGAATACTGAATGCGCGCGCGCACACTCACGCACACGCGCGCACTCGCGCACTCTCTCTCTCTTTCTCTCTCTCTCTGCATGGAGTTGGGAGTAGAGGACAAGGAAACAAACCAAGATGAGTTAGTTTTCAAGAATGAGTAGGATGAAGTGCCCAGAAGAGGTCTAGAAGCAGGTTGGAAAGAGTTTCGAAAGCACAGGAAAGCTGTCTGAGGTGAGAATATATTTTAAATTACTTACACTGATCTATTTACTTTTTCCCATATACATTCATGATCTCTCCCTGCCTTCTGTTTGTACTGTAACTTCTATCTGGTCAGCCTTAGTGTCTCCCTCCACTGATTATAACTAAAATTTGGAGCACCATGAAAAAGAGAACCGAAAAACTTCAGGCAATATATAGGAAAACACTTGAACAAAGGATGTCTGCTTATTACCCTACTTAAGAGTAAAGCTTTCTCTGAGTACTACTCCGAGTTGCGTCAAGTAGGGCTTGGATTTACTGATTTACTAAATTTGGAAAGCTATTAATTCCTAAGATCAGAGAAATACTGTAATATTCAAAAGTTTTGTCGATTCTATTTATAAAGCGGTCTCTCAAAGAGCATATATCTTCTTCCATCACTTTATATAGATCACTGTGTCTTATTACTAGAATAACAGTCTTGTGTTCAGGATCTGTCAAGCCACAGAAGTCATAAATCAAATAACCAGACTAACAGAAAGGCTCCAGCCCTATCCATATTAACAAATAGTATGGCCCATACCTGAGACTTTTCCTTTAATTTTAAATGTATTCATTTCTAAAAGTAATTTTTCAAAAATAGGAAACAGAGGCTAGGCCAGATAAATCAAGCATTGCCTGATTTTTAGCACATTCGCCAATTCCTTTTAGTAGAAGCATATTTAAGAGTGGCAAGATTTCAAGCGTCTTTTACCTGGTGTGACTCTAGGCTTCCTCACTCTAACGCTGAATTTCTTCACCTACAAAATAGGAATAATAATATTACCAACTTTACAGGTATACTGTGAACTTTGCTGGCACACAGTATGTATTAAGCAAATACTAGCTATTATTAAGCAATACCGTCAGTATACGAACAGCTTAGTGGGCATTCTAGCGGCTTTTCATTATTTGAAATTTGTCTTTAAAACACTATAAAAAAGACTTTAAAGTCATTAACATTTATGTACAGGATGATAATGACCACAGGGTAAAGAAACTTATATACCTTATATAACTACATGCATAAATATTTGGGGAAAAAATAGCCATTAACATTTTACTATATATGAGTGGGTTTTGTTTTCTTCTTTATTCTTGTTTTGCAAAATTTCTTTAATGTACTTGGTATTACTTCGATAAATAAGGAAAACGGTTATTTGAAAATGAACTTATAGTACAATAAAATCTGTAAAGAACTCCCAAGAGTAATTCCGTAATTGCACTACTGCTGGTTTCCACTTCTTAGCATCTATGTACCACGAAGTAAGTAGCAAATTTTAAACAATAAAGTACTATTCTAGTAAATACTAAGTGGAAGCTAGGGTTAAAAATCACTTCACAAAATACAGTTTAGCAGATGATCTGAGTACGCCTTAAAATTTTTTACTATGAAAAATTTCAAACATACACAAAAGTAGAAACAATAATGAACCTCCAAGGACCAATCAAGTGTCTTCAACAATTAACCTATAACTTCTTGTTCATTTTACCATCCTCTATTTTAAAATAAATCTGATCATCATTAAGAATGTGTGTTCTTAAAATGTTCTAAGCAACTCGTGGTAAATTATAAAATATGGTTACAAATCCCTCCCATCTGAGTATGTACACTCCTTTGCACTGTGATGTTCTCGTCTACCCAAGCAGAGGTGAAATCTTATTTCCCCACCCTGTGAATGTGGGCTAGCCTTGTGAGACTTTCTTTGACTAAAAGAATGCAGTGTAAGTGACATTATAGGATTTGACAGGCTGTAAGAAGTCTTATAACTTCCATTTTCCTTCTCTCGCATTGCTGCTTTGAGAAACCCATGATGGAAAAGACCACACAGAGCAGAGGCTAGACGTTAACCAACACCAATTGCCAGATATAGGAGAGATGCCATCTTGAACCTTCCAGCCCGAGAAATCCTCCACCAGAATGCTAGTACATAAGTGAACCCAAGCAAAACCAGCAGAACTGTCCAGCAGGACAGTTCTACAGAATTACAGAAAAATAGTAAACAGTAGTCTTAATCCACTAGATTTTGAAGTGGCCTGCTATGCAGCAATAAAGCAATACCAATGCCAATGGTCAATTGTCTTCCAGGAATACAAACATAGTTACAATTCCATTATCTCTACTTGGCATACCCTTTTGTTTTAAAAAACCTGCTTCTGGTGAAAATTTTTTTCTCAGAAATCCTAGTGTTTTATTTATTGATCCTAGTAGACATGGAAGCTAAGGGTGGTCACACGAGGCAAGCACTCAAAAACACTTAACTTTCTGTGTCTTAAAAAAGAATGCCATTTGATTTTTAGCTAACAAATATTTAAGACACAAATATATAGCCAAATCTTAAAACAACTAGAAAAAAGTTTAACATCTCCATGAGAAAATATAACTATTATATTAAGTCTACACCACAGTACTTTATGAGATAATCTGTTCTCTTCTGAAGTGTATTCAATCTATAAGTCTCAAGTTTCAATCTTCATTCAATAAGTAGATACCACTTTAGGGTTTTTTTCTGGAAAGTGAGAAATGAATTACACCGAAGCACAATGATCATAATAGAAAAGTCAGAACTAGCTTTTAAGATTCAAAATTTGCCCTCTTTTAAAGCTGTTGACAAAAGTGGGTGTAGAGCAGTAGTTGATTTTAAAACCAGGTGTTCAGTTTTTCTAGTCTAACCGGTAGAGTTACATGGAAATGATTTGAGAGCAAGAAAAACCAGCTTTGATCATGAGTTCAGACCAGAGAAGAAACGTTAAAAATTAAGGTCAGTGAAAATCAAACCCCAGCCAACTTTCAAATTATAATTTTATTCCCTCACTTTTGGGTTTGTCTTATGATTAGCAACTGTATTAAAGATAGAATTTTTGTAAAATAATGATTTTTGAGAATATAATTATTTTCAGGGTAACAATTCTGCTTTAGTGAATTCAAGTGTATCTTAGTAGGGATTCAAAATCTTAACTCATTTTAAATCATAATCTTCCTAATGTGATCAGCTGTTATTTAACAGTTAAAAGATTCATTAGTTTTTAAATGTAATTTGCCGTTTAAAAATGAGGTTTGGTGCAAGCCTGTGCATTTCCCAATGTTTATTATTGGCAGTGGTACTTAATTATCTATAGTTACAGAAGTATGTATTGGCACTTAATTATCTGTAGTTACAAAAGTATGTATTAGCAAAGAATATAAAAAAAATCATTTTTATTTGGTTTAGGAATGTAACAGCTCTCAATTTCCAACAGCACAGAGCACTAGCTTTGTAAAACAATACAGAAGGTCTTTCACGTCCTGTTCTAACCTTCCATTCAAATGTGTCAGCTATGGGGAACAAACTGTCCATTCTTAAAACTATGATACCATGACTTTGCAGTTTCCTTATCAAACTCTTAGTCATCCTCCACATCTCATTTAAAGCAATATTTGCTGTGAAATTCCCCCAAGATTAAACACCCCTTTGTGTTCCCAGAGTACTACGTACTAACACTCATATAACAGCAGTTGTTTCTACATTAGTCTGATGACTAAATTATGAGTTGTGGAGGGAGGAGGCTGTGTCAAGCTCATTCTTGTAATGTGAAGCCCTAATCTAGTAGCCAGGATACAACAAATAAATTTTCAAAAAGTTTTATATTATTTGGTAATTTTGCACTATTACAATTATTTTCCTAAATGATAATATTAAAATGTGGGTAACTTGAACATAAACTAGATGAAGAGTTGTGTGAAGTGGATACAGAGCTGATTTAAAATTGGCTGTATGAGTGCCACGAATGACTTTTCACTTCTAACCTTCAAGTAAGACATATATACTGTCTATATAGGGACACATTTGTGCCTTATCTAGGAATATAAGCTCTTTTGCCTATGAGGCAGAAACAGAAATCACTTGTACTTAAATGTAGGAATTATAAATCATTAATGCCATTTAAGACATCAGACCCAGCATGCAACACTGGAATAAACCCAAGACTACATACCCACCATGCTCACATCTGTGGTATATTTAGGGGAAAATAGAGTTGTAAAAAGTTCTTACTTAAAAACATCCGTAGTAGAGAACTTATATAAATATATATATATTGTGTGTGAAGCAGTCAGCACTCTGTGGGGAACACATTGCAAAGCAGAGTAAACTTTAAGGTTATTCGGACCAGAATTCCTGAATAAAAAATTGGACTTTAGGAATCAATTCCAATTGTTAGTTTCCACTAAAAAATCACTCTCCAAGTTTAGGTCTACAGTATGTACACTCCTACACACTACCTCATCTAATTTAATCTCCACTTCAAGTCTAGGAACTAACTGCTATGTTTCTCTGGAAATCAGAAGAGATTAAATGATTATAGAAAAATAAAGACTCAAACCCAGATCTTCTGACTCTAAAGCCTCATACACCACTGCTGTTTCACGAAATAATAGAGTTAGTTTTAAGTGAAATACTGACCCATTTCTGAAACAAAATTTATCTCATGGAAAAACCTAGTTATACTGTGTCTGCCTTAACAATATACTGCTTGATTTTTAAATTAAAAAAATATCATATTTAACCATACCTCTGAGTTCCAGACAGAAATAGATAGTAATTAAGAAAAGGGGAGATTTAAAACAATGAAAAAAGAAAAATACCTAAAAGATCCTATAAAATCGGAAAATCTTACTAAATTCAAATTCATCTGGCACATTTACTCTTAAAAGTGCCAGAAGACACTAGCGGTGACGAATTTATTATCAAGACAGAGATTTCTTCCCACATATTATATTGTCTACATTTGTACATTAAAAAAGTATTAATTGTAGTATTTTTTGATGTGTTTGCACACGTTCTGAAGTCTTCGCTACGCAGTTTCATCAAAATGAAGGAGTACTCTACTGGTGCCTTCCATATTTTTACTTCTTACGCCAACAAGTCCGTTTTTAATACATATCACCACCTATTTCAATTTGAAGAATTTACCACAACACAAAAAGAACTCCCCCCAAAGTATCAAGATACTCAATCAAGTACTGGAACGATCAATGGGCACATCTTCACATCTCATCTAAGGGGCTGATAAAGTCCCTTCGATTCGAGGCTGGGTTGGCAGAGACCTTATCTACCCCACCTTCGACATCGCGCTCACTAAATACTTCACTTAGGACCCTCCCGGCCCGCAGGGCCCTGGAGGACCCTCCTTACCCCAGTCGAAGAGGCCGCCCAAAGTAAGGCTCAAGGCCTGGCCCTCACCCGCCGCCACGTCTAGAAGACGCACAATCTGCTCCCCTCAGCCCGTCACAAACTCCACCACCGGACGAAAGGCCACCGGCACAGGAGGCCTGTGCCGGCATCCCTTCGTACCCGCGCGGTCCCAGATCGAGCTCCTTCACCCCATCTTGCGAAGGAGGAAGCGGCCTCTGCGTCCCCGGGCCTGCACTTTGTTTCCTCCCCTCCCCCACCTGCGGCCTTGACTGGAACCACCTCCCCCAGGAGACGCCCGAGCTCCGCGGCTTATTACCTGTGCTCTGGAGCAGGCACTGAACAAGGAGCGTCCCGCTCGCAGCGATCACGCCGCCGCCTTCCTCCACGAAGTTCTAGGACTGAGGCAGAGCAGACCGCAGCAAAGCACAATGGCGCCCGCCCCTCTCCCGGATCCGGCGCAGAACCAGCTGCCACCGTTAATGCCCCTCCCTTCCCCTCCTCCCCCCAGTTCGCGGACTCCGCCGGCTTCTCGCGAGAGTGGCGGCGCTGCGGGGATCCGAGAGCTACAGCCGACTCGACGTACCCCACCGCGGGGTGGTGCTCTGACTGCGGCAACCGTTGAAGGGCTGTCCCGGAGGAGGCAGCGAGGCGCCACCGGTAAGCGGCTGCGGCTGACCGGCCGGTGGACTGGCGGCTGGGCCGTCAAATGTACGGGCGCCAGGAGCGGGACGCTGGAGGCCCAGCTCTGGCTGGCCGCCCTCGCCTAGTTGGCGAGGGGTTCCGATTCATCCTTGCCGCTCCCCGGCGCCTGAGTCTCGGCTACGGGCTCTTGCTCCCGCCCTGGTACCTCCAGGGCCCACTGCTCGAAATACCGCCCAGTCTCTCTCTCTCTCTCTTTTTTTTTTTTGCGCTCAGTAAGTGGCGCAGTGAATGTTTAGCATTGATTTGAATCAAGCACTGCCTTTTCCGACCTTCCCCTCCTCCCACTCCCTGCCTGCCCTATTTTGTGTCTGCGAGTCCTCTCCTTTCAGGGTTGGAGCCGATTGGGACCATTCGTTTCTATCGGTGATTCAGTTTTGGTGGTGATGTACTTTTACAGTCATGTCTTTTTAAATCTTGATACTAATCTTTGATAGTGTAGAAACGGCTTTTGCAGTCAAAATTCATCCATTTAGAAAGAGGTAGGGAAATTGTGAGGCAAGTAGTCTGGTGAAATTAGACGAAACTTTCAAAAAACTAAATGTAGTGAACTAAGATGTAAATGAATACTAATACTTAATACTAATACTTAAAAGGAAGTAGGTTAGAGGAAAAGCCACAATTTATATGGATTTAGATAGTATGATTTCAGTGATACGTGGATTTTGAATAAGGTATCAAAGATAAAAGTTCTTTACCAGTAAATATAAATCGTTGAAACTTACAAGCATACTGACGACACTTTATTTTTAAAGTGACCTATTAGATTGTTGTAAGCAATTTACTGGACTCAAATAGTTCTAATAAATGAAGTATGAGGTTTAGATGTATTTCCTTATTTCATCTGAAGGGAATGCACTATTACTATCATCCCCATATCACTCTGTCTTGGAGACTAAGGGACTGTCTATGCTTCATTATTTTAAATTGTAAAATATTATAAATGTTAAAGATCTAAAATTTGATTATTTAGAGTTGGTACATAAATGCCAGTCTAACTTTTTAGAATGTGAGTTGATTAAGCATCTGGTATAGGATAAAGTGAACACATTACTTTTTCCCCCCAAACACATTACTTCTGAGGAAATTAATTTGCCCTTTTTTAGAAAACTAATTTTTCCCCCCAGTCAGTTAGAGTATACCTGTAGCATTGTGGTTATGGATATGCACACCTGAAGCACCAGACTGCATGGATTCAAATCCCAATCCTGCCTCTTACTAGCTCTGTTGTCTTGAGCAATTTTTAACCTCATTAAGCCTAGATTTCCTGTAAAATGTGTTTAATAACGATATCTATACTCCATAGGATTGTTGAAAGGATTAAATGAGATAATGCATCAGTTCCTGGAACATAGTACGCATTCCATAATTGTTAGCTATTACATTCCATGTCTAAAACACCACTAATATTGTATTTCTTGGGCTTAATATTACATAGGTCCCTTAAACATCTTTTCAAGTATATTCTACACTAAGAGGAATGACTGCACCATTTTCCTGAGCTATGGCAGTCAGACGTGGTAGCAGTAACTTCTCTACAGAACCCCCAAACCTGGCAAGGATGGTTCAGATTTTGGCAGATAATGGCTTCATCACCACCCAGCACTGATGATATCAGTAGAGGTGAGTGTGGCACCAATTTCCTAACCTAAACAGACCTTCTAGACTCCAGTTTTATATTAATACCAGTAAATAGATAAGGACCACTGATAAGTATGTTTTTATTCTTTAGGAATGGTTATTTTTTAATGCACTTTCTTTGATGTGAGTTTCCAGGTAATTATAATTATCAACAAATAAATTGAGATTTTCCTATGTTAAAGATAATCTTATAGGAATCGTGGATATAAATAGATTCAATTGTGACTATATTTTTTGAACTAAAAATCAGAACAAAATGATTTGACAAGCAAAATATTTGAAATCAGAACTGTTCTGACCAATTTAGACTCCGCGATTGCCTTTTCTACACGGAGTTCCCCCACTTGATCTTCCTTTGCTAAATTTTTTATCCTTATCACCAACTCTGACACACATTTCTGTGTCTTTGTTCACCACTTGCCCACACCACTCACATTTGTTTACATTTTTGAACTTGGCTTTTTCCCTAAATTAGGGTCTTACTACTACTAATTTTTTTCCCTTTCTGCTTGTCATTTGGTCATGGTCGTAACAGCTGTTTACTCTTATATTTAAGTATTTAATTCTTCAATTACCTGATAGCTTGAATTCTCTTTCAGATATTGAGTTTCAAAGTTCCTGTTTTCCCCACTTTTTATCATCCCTCATCTTCTAAGAAACTTCTTTATGGCAAGGGCATCTTATAGACATTCTTTACTTTGATTAAATGCTGTGATCTTGAAAAGGTGTAGTTATATTTGTTTTTTGTAATTCAAATCATTTTTGAATGTAGATTATTTCTTAAACTTTTTAGAAACAAGAAGTAATACCTGGGATGAGATGAAAGTGCTTATAGAAATGTCCCTGAGTTAAAAACAAAGGTTGCCAATTTCTGCTCAAATGGGAGTCTTATTCATTTCTGGAGATGGGAACCTTGTGCAATCAACCAACTTGGGGATCTACTATTTAGTTATAGGTACCTTTAAATACATTGTATGTATTATTACTTAACAATAGTCTATAGATTGAGGATTCTTCTAAGGAATACATTATGTAAAGTTCTTTCGTTTTAAATCTTTAACTTAAAGAATTCTGATGTAAACCCTTGATGTAGTGATTTTGTGAATTTTTATTTTCCTCTTATCAAGCGTGATTGAAAGGTGCCACATTTAATGAATATTCAAGATATTCTATTGTTTGGCTTTTGCTGGATTACTGGCAATAACTTTTAATCCCCAAAGCCAATAGATAAAACAACATAAAAACAAGTAAAGAGAATACCATCATTAAACCTTCTCTGAGAAACTCTTATACTTACACTTATGATCTAGATCTCACTGGTTCTAGGAAGATCATT